TTGCCTTGAAAATCAAGTTATGGGACATAGTAAATCATATGTCCCATATTTGATTTTCAAGGCAAAGACCCCATTTGTTTCCAACCTATTAAATGATTTATGCTTTATACGATTGTATAAATTAATTCAATGTGTTCAATGAATCATAATGTCTAGCCAAAAAAACTTCAATAAAACAAAGTTTAAGAGTCTAACGATGCTAAATGGTTCAAGCTTTTAATAACTATATAGATCAGTTGCACTGTTGAGATTAATCGTTAATGTGGCATTGCATTATTTAAGTGTAATTAATGTATGATACTACTTTAGTAAATGCCGGTATATAAAAAAGCTTATAATTAATAAATCGATCAAATGTACTGCTTATATCATGTTCGGATCCTGTTATAGAATTTATTATGGTTGTTCGATATATGCAGTGTAATTATTTATAAATAAAATGTTCTTAAGCTTTTTGTTCGGAATAACTAGGGTTCGGTATATATAGGTTCGGTTTAGGAGAGTCGACTGTATAGTTCATTCAGGATCTTTGTCCTCATTTTTTTCATTTTTAACATCTTTTTCTTTGACTTGTTCGTGTCCTTTTTTAGCAAGATCGGAGTTTATCTTTTGCGCTTCAAGAAATTTCTCTTTGAAAATCTGGGCATCTAATTTGAATATAAAACAAATGTTTAAATATTCATTTAACAATGATTAGTCTATTAAATTCATATAACATACTTTCTGTATTAGCAAATCGGATTGCTAAAGTCTCCGGTTTTGATTCACCATCAGAAATATCAGCAGCAACATTCCATACCCACGAACGATCGGAACCAACATTTGGAGAAAGCTGCATTTCAGGAGTGACTACGAAAATTTTAGTTGAAAAAAAGAATCAACAAATAACAATATCAATTATACTAAGATCATTTGGTGGAAGCAAAATTGAGACAAGTATTTACACCAGCACAATTATGCTAGACTCACTATAATGGTTGGCACAAACTTTATGAGTTTTATCCCTCCGCATTACCAGGCGAACCTTTTTTGTTTCTTTATGCTGAAGAAAACGAACATCGCCAGTGCCACGTTCTTTCCATTCTTTCAGGGGTTTGTCAAATCGAAATAGCTTAGCGCGCCTACAAATGACAAATTATTATTAGTAAAAAATATCATATTGATAAATACTTGGAGATTATTTATGCAAATTCATAATATATGCTCCAGAAAATCAATTAATGACATAAGTGTTTGGAAGCTCGTAGGGTAAGAGAAATCAAAACATGTAATATCTTTCCTACAGAATTTCTTCCAGTTGAATTTTCAACAGTTTAGCGAACTTGCAATTCATTACCAAGCCGAGTAACGGCAGTTTAATGCAAGTGAATTTACTGTTGAAATGTCAATTTGTCTGGGATAGTTCATTTTTGTTATTTGTGAACGTTTCCAAGACACTTATAAATATTGCTAATTCCTATTCGAATCAAACTCACATTTTGAACAGTACGTCCTCATCCTCTTCAAGCGTTTTAACCTCCACTTCGTCTAGCTTAATAATTGGTTCAAAATGAACATCAGGCGAAGCGGGGGGCACATCCTCCTGTTAGAATTCATATTTGAAGCGTTAGAAATATGCTTTGAAACTATGACACAGGCATGAGCACGTCGATCACATACCTCTTCAGGCTTTAAAGACTCCGTGACGGTTGACTTGCTTTCAGGATCGGTCATAACTAAAAGCGTAAACTTTATTGGATAAGATTTTTGCAAAAAAAAAAGTATTTTTATAAACTGTTATTCGATAAAAATACTGATGGGCAAATTTATATTGGCCAATGTCATATCGATATGGGTCATGCGTTAATCGGTTTGAAACCAATTATAATTTTGCTAAACCGGGTTTGTTATAAGAAAAAAACGAAAGATCAAATAGATTTAAAAAAAAATTTATTTTAGAGAACTTTACCTTATACTAATGGTTTGAAAACATTGCTACATAGCAAATGGTTTCAAAATATCGGTTTTTTAAACGTTTTATAAAGAACTTTTTCTATTCATAATAATGGCTTCTACGCTCATTATGAATAATCTAAAAGTTTTTTACACGAATGGCCAAAGTAGTGATTTGACCCGGGTGTAGAGTTCGGGCATAGTAGGCATGGGCATGCCCATACTTAATTCCAACCTGACCCTAACCCTAACCCTAATCTATAGAAACCTTATAAAATATTAATATGATTGGCCAAGATAACATAGTGGGTATTAAATTTGATTGGATGATATATTAGCGAGTTAAAGTTTAAAATTTGACTACCAATAAAATTTTTAATATATCACAGGATGATCTAAAAACCCGTTATGTTGTATATATTGTGATTGGCTAGTGATTATTTATATGAATATAAAAGCATGCTCTTATAGGTATGTTCTTACAAATATACATAATCAAGTTTTTACTTGATCTCAAATACATATTTGATTACAGATCAAATCTAAATTTATAAATCAATCATATGCATTTTATAGTATGTACACAAATACGTATATATATATGCAGATTGAGAATACGAAATATAGTATACATATCATGTTTAGCTTTGGTTTATTTGGAATCTGCAGATCTAAGTTTATTAATTTAAATAATAAAATATACTTTTTTTTTTTTTTTTTTTTTTT